TCTTTCTTTCCTTCCTTCTTTTCACCCACTCCTTTATCAATTCTTCCTTTGCCCTTCCTTCCTTCCTTCCATCCTTCCTTCCATCCATCCATCATCTTCTCCTCTTTCTTTCCTTCCTTCCTTTTCACCCACTCCTCCTCCTTGCCCGTCCTTCCCTTTCCCTTCCTTCCTCACCTCCTCCGCTCTTCCCTTCTTTTCACCCACTCATCTTTATCAACTAATCTCTTTCCTTTCTCCTTTCTCCTTTCCCTTCCTCCTCCTCCTTGAAAAAAAAAATCTCCTCGTGGGAAGCTCCTTCCTCCTGGCTCTTCCCAAGCTAACTTTCTCCTCCTTCTCTTCGTTCTCCAGCTTACGGCGAGAGGGTTACACGGTCCAGGTGAGCGTCAATGACTACCTGGACATCTACTGCCCCCATTACAACACCTCGGTGCCCGAGGGGCGCATGGAACAGTACATCCTCTACATGGTGAGCCTGGAGGGGTACCAGACATGCGACATCAGCCAAGGCTTCAAGCGCTGGGAGTGCAACCGGCCTCGCGCCCCACACAGCCCCATCAAGTTCTCGGAGAAGTTCCAGCGTTACAGTGCCTTCTCACTGGGTTATGAGTTCCACGCTGGCCACGAATATTACTACATCTGTGAGTTGGGTGTCTTTCTCTCCTTTGCCCTCACTTTTTTTGTTTTTTTTTTGGATGGGATGTGTTTTTCCTTAGAGCGGCAATCCAAAAACTTATAAGTAAGTCCAAACCCAATCCAAAAACTTATAAGTAAACTGATAAGCATTTAGCAATAGCAATAAGGACTTAGATTTGTGGGCAGTCAGCCTGCAATACTGCATTCTAACCGCAAAGAAGGAAGGAAGGAAGGAAGGAAGGAAGGAAGGAAGGAAGGAAGGATTAGCACTAGCACTTAGACTTATAAGACTCACAATGCTTTTCAGCCCTCTCTAAGCAGTTTGCAGAGTCAGCCTCTTGCCCCCAACAGTCTGGGTCATTTTACCGACCTCAGAAGGACGGAAGGCTGAGTCAACCTTGATCCTGGTGAGAGTCAAACTGCCAAATTGCAGGCAGCCGGCAATCAGCAGAAGTAGCCTGCAGCATTGCACTCTAACCACTGTGCCACTGCAGCTCCATTGATGGCCAAATGCTAGACCAGGAAGGAAGGTTTGGAGCACCAGCTCCCCTTCTTAAAAGGTCAAAGGTTACCTGTCCGGTCGTGTCCGACTCTAGGGGCCGAGGAAGCCAGCATTGTCCGGAGACATGTTCCACCGTCCTGCGGCTGCAGCATGGCTATATGCCAAGGACACCCAGAACCCTGTTACTTTCCCACCAAAGTGGTACCTATTTATCTGCTTGCTTTTGCATGCTTTCGGACTGCTAGGTGGGCTGGAGCTGAGGCAAGGAAGGGGAACTCTCCCCATCCCACCACGCCCAGGTCTCCAACCGGGGCTGTCAGCTTTCCAGCTGACAGGATCAGCAGCCTTGAAAAAAACGATGCAAAATGGTCGTGTCGATCAGGGTGTATCGTTCACGAAGACACCACGTGACGTCCCCGATTCAGGGCAAACACCGGTTAAACGGGACATGTGTCTGTCTCTTGAGCATCGCATGGGGCTAAATTAAACACCAAATTAAAAAGGCTTTTGCCCCGAGACCACAGGGCAATGCCAAAACTTGTCCATCACAGTTTGTTAGATCATAGAATGATGGTTTATCTCAGGATAAGGGGCTTCCTCTGGCCGGGTTCAGACAACCCTACTCTCTCACGCTGTACAGGTAGTTCTCAACTCATGTCCGTTCGTTTAATGACCATTGGAAGCTCCCACCGTGCCGAAACAAGTGACGTATCCTCGGAGTTATGACCGCATCCCCACGGTCATGCGATCTGAATTTGGGCCCTTGGCAACTAGCCTGTATTTACTACGATTGCTGTGTGCCAGGCTCACTTTCGTGAGCGGCCTTCCCAGCCGGCTTCAGACAAGCCAAGTCCCTGGAGGAAGCTGGATTCGCTTAGCACAGGCCCAGTTGTGGTCCTAAGTCGAGGACTACCAATCACGGACTCCATTTAGGCTTCGTGTGTGGGGCAAACCTTCCCAAAGCCACCGACTGCATAAACTAAGAGTAAGAGGTGTTTATTTAGTTCTTTGGCCGTGAAGGAGGAGAATATGGCTTTTGTCCACCAGGGGGAGCCCTCGACCAAGGCAACTTTAGGCTTCTCCTCAACCTCTGGCCAATAGGGATTCGTCATAAAGTGAATCTCGTTTCTTCCTCCTCTCATAAAAACAATGTGCAAATGTGGGTGTGCGACTTTTTGAGGGGCCCCAAGAGGCTGCTTGCCTCCCGCTTTTCAGGTGGCCCAGGTGAATGGATTCACTTAACAACTGCTCCGAGGGAGGGACCAAGGAAAGGAGGGAGGGAGGAAGATGATGGAAGGAAGGAACTGAGGGAGGGAGGAAGGAAGAAGGGAGATAGAAGATGGAAGGATGAAGGAAGGAAGGAAAGAAGGAAGGAAGAAGAAAGGAAGGAAGGAAGGAAGGAAGAAGAAAGATGAAGGGAGGAAGAAAGATGAAGGGAGGAAGGAAGGAAGGAAGGAAGGAAAGAAGGAAGGAAAAGGGAAGGAAGGAAAGAAGGAACGAAGGAAGAAGAAAGATGAAGGAGGGAAGGAAGAAGAAAGATGGAGGAAGGAAGGAAAGGAAGGAAGAAGAAAGATGAAGGAAGGAAGGAAAGAAGGAGGGAAGGAAAGAAGGAAGGAAGAAGAAAGATGATGGAAGGAAGGAAGGGAGGGAGTGGAGGAGGGAAGGAAGGAACCAAGAAGAGGAGGGAGGGAGGAAGATGAGAGAAGGAAGGAATATAGATAATGGAAGGAAGGAAGAAGATGGAAGGAAGGAAAGAAAGAAAGAACCGAGGGAGGGAGGAAGGAAGAAGGAAGCTAGATGATGGAAGGAAGAAGGAAGATGATGGGAGAAAGGAAAGAAGGAACCAAGGAGAGGAGGGAGGGGAGGAGGGGAGGAAGGAAGAAGAGAGGGGAGGGGAGGAAGAGGGGGGTTGTCCCCAACATTGTCCCCCCCCTCCCCCGATCCATCCCACCTCAGTTTCCCTGCCTGGTTCGGCCCCAAGAATCCCTCAGCCCACCTGGGGATGAAATGTGCTGCCTGTCAAGCCAGGAGAGGGTGAAACGGTTCCAAGATGGCCGACTCCAACGCCATCCTTTTGTTGTTGTTGTTGTTGTTGTTGTTTTCTAGCCACTCCAACGCACAATCACCGCCGGTCCTGCTTGCGAATGAAAGTCTTTGTCTGCTGCCATTCCCGTGAGTGACCGCTTCCTTTCTCCCATTTCTTCCTCCACCACCACCACATTCTCAAAAGTGCCCAAAAAGCATTCAAGATCCGTACTGCCAAAATTTGGCACCGCCCTTTCCCAAACCAAGCCGTTAGTCCTCAGGAAAGGACTGGGATGTCTTTCTCTCCCCCCATACACCCCCCAAGGGTGGGCTCTGAACCTCCGTATCCCCGTCTGGGAATTTCATTTATCTTGGCGGAAAACTTAACAATCGTTTTTCGTCTTCCCCGCAAAAAAAAAAAACGAAACCGAGGGGAAAAATTTACACTGCCTGTCGTGGAACTACCACGCCCCTCGTAGGAGCCTCTACTGGGGGAGGGGGGTGATCCCTGGGGACAGGAGGGCGGCCAAAAACTTTCCGGGGAGGGTCCTTGTCGTATCCCACCACCCCTTGGAAGTAATGCCTTCCCCGCCTCTCTCCTGCCCACAGCGTCGTTTTCTGGGGACAGAGTGGTACCAACTCTTCCGCCATTCACTGTAGGGCCCGAAGTGAAGATTGAGGATCTGGGTGAGTGTCCACCGACTTTTGCCCTGGGGAAAAGTGGGGTGGAGCGGCTGGGATTCCCCACCTCACCCCTCCAAAAATGTAGCTCCCTGCCTCTCCACCGAGGATTGGGTTGTCTTGCTGGAAGAGGCTGAGGGGGGTCTCCCAAATTTTGGAGGCCCTCGAGGGTGGGCCTAGGACAACTCGCCGAGGACAAACTCCGTACGGACAACTCGCCATGGGACAATTCAACGCTGCTTTGACAGAGAGTTGGAAGGGACCTTGGAGGTCTTCTAGTCCAACCCCACCCCAGCAGGAGATCCTAACACCGTTTCAGACCAACGGTGATCCAACCTCTTCTTTAAAAAAAAACAGCGTTGAAGCACCCACAGCTTCGTTCAATCGTTTCCTTCGGGGATCATCGGCGAGCACTTTTTTTGTCGACGTGGTTGTAACTCTTTGTCCTTCCGGCTCGACTTTCTTTTATTCCTATTCTTATTGGCCACGGTTCTGTCGAAATTCACGCAACTTTGGGATGGGTTGAATCGTCCCACGGAGTTGGCTGTTTCGCAGCGAGTCGGCTGCGGCGAAGGGTGCCCTTCCACTCGGGGGTTGGCGCGCCCTCATCGCAGTCGCTTGCCCTGCGTGGCGCGCCGTGGAGAAACAGCGTTTTGAGCAGGATTGACCGGGGGAAGAGGGCACGGCCTACACTTCCGCCTTTTTTTTCCCCCTCCCCTCCTACCACTTTTTAATCTTCTCTTCCTTTCTCTCTTTCTCCCCCCACCTTCCCCTAAATACAGATCATTTTAACCCCGAGATGCCCAAACTGGAGAAGAGCATCAGTGGGACGAGTCCGAAGTGGGAACACTTGCCTTTAGCCCTGGCAGTCGCTTTCTTCCTTATGATTTTCCTAGCCTCCTAGCTGTGTGGATCGGAGGGGTAAGGGGGCCCAGCAGTAGCCCCCTCCCCATCACACGAGCCCGGTCTCTTCCTCAAGGTCTCCTTGGCTGTTGGGTTGGCACAGGACAGAGAGAAAACAAAGTATATTCACCGTGAAATTTCAGAGCAAGACACGTTTGACAGGGCTGGGTGTGGAAAAGGGCGGGGGGGTCGCCGAAGAGAACAGCGAGATTTCACGGGCCTAACGCTCCTCCGTCCAGATAATCGTGATCTCCACTTTCGCCGTCTTCTCCGCTTCCCGCCACACGCCGAGGAACAACCCTGCTTTTTCAAGGCGGGGATCCAGAATTTAACACAAAAACGAAAAACGGGGCTCTTCTTTTCTTCCCCCCCCCTCCTTTTTTTTTGTTAAAAAAAATATATCATTCTGCTATTCCTGAGTGCGATGACTTTCGATCGCCATCCCGTCTCCCTCTCGTTCTCTCGTCTCGCCCGGTACAAGCGGACAAAACGAGCGGGTGAATCCGCAAAAAAATCGTACCCGTAAGGATTTGGGGAGGTTCAGGACACGGACCGTTTGTTAAACCTGGCTGTTGGTGGGGGGGGGAAGTTGGAGGGGGGGGTCAGCCAGGGAGAGGACCCTGCTTGAAAGAGGGGGGGGTGTTGCACCCCCACGGAGCTTCCGATGTCCGCGATTTTTCGAGGCGTCCACGGCGTCTCCCCAGTACGCACCTTGAGGTCGACGGACACCCGCTATTTTGGAACGGGGGTGGGTGGGAATCCTGTACATATCTCTATGTGTTCTGTACAGAGAGGCACCCTTATTATCCTGTGTCTATAGATTATATGAAATTGTTCTCATGGGGGGGTTTTCTTTTTGGGGGGTGGGGTGGGCTGGGGTGGGGCAGCTCTTCCTGTCTGTCTTCTGTGAAGACCAAACCTATGCAAGTGGCACCGTCACTTTTTTTTTCCCTTTGGGGCGGGTGGGAATTTGGGGGGTGGGGGGCAAGTGGTAAAAGCGACGGCCAAATCCACGCGGTGAAATAAAAAAAACACCCCGAAAATGATGATAAGGGGGGGCAAAACTAAAAAAAATTGACGACGAAGATTTCTCTCTGCGTGTACGTGTGTTGGATGGTTTGACGGTTTATTATATATTTTGGGGTTTTTTTGTTTTTCTTCTTCTTAACTTTCGGGCTTGGGGTTTTGATTATTATGATTATTATTATTATTGGGTTTCTGTCCCCCCAAAGAAAGAACTTTGGCTTGTCGTTTTCATATACTTCCTCTTAGTCTATTAAAAAAAAAAAATTAAATAAAAGGTGAAGAAAAAAAGATACGATGGCGTGGTCCCTTCCTTTCTTCTCGTCCTGGGGGGGTCTTCATAGATGGGGCTGATGTGGGGGGGGGAATTAGGATCTGGGGAGCTTTTTTCAATGAAAGCTTTTTTTTTCATTGATGAATAACTTGTTTTTTTTTTCTTCCCTTTCCCTTTTTTCCTCTTTCGGTTTCTTCTCTCCCTCTTTTTCTATTTTTCTTTTCTCCTTTCCCTCTTTCTTTTCTTCCCCTTCTCGTTCCTCTTCCTCCTTCACTTCTTCTACATCCTTCACTTCTTCCTCCCATTCCTCTGCCCTCTTCCATTTCTTCTTCTTCTTCTTCTTCTTTCTTCTTTCTTCTTTCTTCTTTCTTCTTGTTATTGTTGTTATTGTTTCTTCTTCTTCTTCTTCTTCTTCTTCTTCTTCTTCTTCTTCTTCTTCT